AATTATCCTGATGACGCATTGTTCTAAGAAAAATTGAAGAACAGGAGATTTTTATCCATGGGCCCAATCTGTAGATACATAAGCCCACACTAGAGCCATTTCCTCTATATGAGAACTCACACATGTCCTTCCGATCATTCATGCTTCGCTTCTCAATATCTTCTAATTATTCCCAACACTTTTAGTGGTTAGCTTTAGAAACAAAAAAATAAACTAACCGTCGAGTGAAGATAATTATTATGTGAGGCATTTTGTCTGTTTGTCTGTGATAATTGACTTTGGATCAAGACGATGGAGGTAAATAAGAAATAACATGCCAATCGTTCGAAATAATTCAATATGTTTTGAAAAAGTGAAAATAACACCTTCTTGTCATGTTATATATGTTTCTTCCAAAAATCTTTATCGCAGTAATTATGCTTTGAAATAATGTTATTGAATCTATCTTCTATGTAAAAAAAGTCTGTGAACGCGATGGTACTATCAAATCAAAGTTTAAATCAAATACTTATATCCACACAAAAAAATTTAATAAGCATCTCCTCCAAAGCTGATCGGAAGAGGTCAATTACACTGTTATATTTTTTTTTTCTCGGTCACTTGGCGCGGAATGACCCATATCCAAATCTTATACTTTCAATAAAATAAAATGTGCGGAGCAATTAATAATTTAGCTGATTTTGTTTGTCGGCTGTGACTAAACAAGTTTTTCAGTCTGGCGAAAGAGGAATACCACATCGGATGGAACACCGTGTCCGTCGTCATGCGCCATGATATACATTTTGCTCAATTTCATTGATATAAATATAGCAGGTATTTGTGAATTAAGCTTTTTTAGTTCAATTTTGATAGTGGTCTTATAGGGGTTACTCGAATAAGCCGTGCAAAATTATACAATAAATATTCGTCCTCTATTCGAGATCTGAAATCAAAAACATAAAAACATCTAAGAGAAGAAACAACAACATGCGTATGAGGGGAAGAGATAAATCAATATTTTTATATAGGGGAAATGGCTCTAATGTTGGCCTATGGATCTAAGATTGGGCTCATCGCTAAAAATCTGCTATTTAACAATTTTATCTGGATGAAAACTAATGGATATTTTTGGTCGCTATTGAAAATTTAGTTGATTGCTGAATTTATGTATGGGCCCAAATTAGGAGCATTTAGGCCGACATTACATCCATTTCCCCTACATTAGCTTCATTCCTTTTCGATAACGTAAATATTTTTACTTGGTTTGACATTTCAAGCTGAAAATTGCATTAGGTCCTAAGTAACATTGACAGATTGTCTTTGCATCCCGACGGCCATGTACAGACATTCCCAGCTATTTTAAGCACACCGATCGATAAAAGAAGCATTTATCTAGCATCTAATACGACAAACACAACAAGAAACGGTTGTGTGCTCAAGCTATTGACGAAAGTGAAAGTCGACGAAGAGAATCGATCAATGTTACTTAGGACCTAATGTAATGTTCAGCTTGATTTATCTTCAGGTCTAATATCAGCATTCTCATAAGATCATTTATTTTATTGGTCAATTGACCGCTTTTTTCGGTTTTACAACATCATTCTATACGCATGAACGGCTGTAAATGGTAGACAATATAAACGCATGAAATGCTGAAAGAATGCAAATTCAAAGTGCTAGCTTATTCGGTGCTAGTAATTCAGCATTTTTCGGCATGCATCATTGTTATAGGTTTGCTACTTTTCAAAACAAGTCGTATTCATTCTTGGACCCTCCTACAAATTATTTCCTAGCTTCGGGCGAAATATTTCCGGAATAGCAGGCTGTTCGTAAAAGTCGAAGAGGGATGGTGCGCAATTTTCATTTGCTACAAATCACACACATGTGAATTTTGCCATGGCTGGTTCTTCAATTATCCAATAGCTCGAAGGCAACGATTAAATTTTCATTTTTTATGCCTCGTTGGGCCGTTTGGCTCGCGTTGAAATAAACAACATGTGTGCTCTAGCATCTGTCAAAGCTTGAATCATCTACTGTAGTGCGGTATGTCGTTTACCAGCTGCCATTTTGTTATTTATTTATGCTACATGATAATCCAGGAAAAGTGCTGCAGTTGATAAGAAGCGAATTGTTTTCTTCACTTATGTAATTTGTCTTGACTAGACGTGTCCCAGCTACAAGCATAGAAAAATAATCATTACCCGAATAAAAAATAAAAAAAATAAAACCATACCTACCGTAAAACCTCGATCAATGCATACCACGCTCAATAGACTGATGCAAAATTTGAAATTTTTGCTCCACGGTGTTCAAACGGTTTCAAATTGGGTCCTGATTAGCCTCCAAAAGTTTAAACTCATTTGATAAGAAACTGACTTGGCACAAACCATTTGAAGTTTATATGGAAATTACTATGTGAAAACAAAACTTTTTGTTCCTTGTCTTTTAGCCTTTTTACATATTGTACTGTTAACAAATTCTATTGCTATTCTTATGGGAATGTTCTATTCTTTGGGCCGTATGAATAAAAAGAGTTTACTTTACTTTCCCGTGCTATTCTTACGGGAAAAGTAAAGTAAACGCTTTTATTCATACGACCTTTTGTAGAAAATTGTTTTTCAGCCAAACGTCAAATTAAATAGTTATTAATTGTTTAAGAGATTGATAATCTTATGGCAATATTAAGCAACTGTATTGTGGACAACTCTGTATTCTGCCGTGTGACATCCCGAGCAGGCATGGAAAATCATTTACATTCATTTCATGCATTCATTTACATTCATTCGCCTCTAACTTTTTTCATCAAAAGTATTTTGCAAAATGATGAATAGAGCTTTAGTAGGTTTTGTTATTAGCTACAACTTTTGTTCATAACTCAAATCTGTATCTTTCATGTATCACGAATTAGAGCGGGCAGAACTTGTTACTGTTTTTCAGTGAATGTAAAATACATTCACTGAAAAACAGTAGTGGCTTTGGTTCGCTCTGGATCGTCATGCATAAGAGATACGGATTTTAAATGTTGACAAAACTTGTAGTTAATACCAAAACCTACAAAAGCTCCATACATAATTTTGCGGAATTCTGTTGATGAAAACAGTTAGGGGCAAATAAATGTAAATGAATGCACGAAATGAATGCAAATGATTTTCCATGCCTGATCCCGAGCAAAGTCCAGCATCAAAATGACAGCAAATTGAAATCAAGTTTTGATATCAACATCGAACTGCAATCCTTATTTGATTTCAGTTTATGCAATTCACAAATTTGATACCAAATTTAGTTTTCATTTTGCTGTACAATTACTCTTCAAAAATATGTTGTTGCGGGTTTGTTGCCTTAGCACAACATCAAATTGAATACTTGTTTTCCCTAATAAACAAATACCATAAACGAACGGTAACCCGTATGGTCGAACTATCCCACAAATAGTTTGGATGATACTCCGAAAACATCGTTAAGCTCTTTCTTATTGTTATTTTTATTATGGTTGTTATCAACAGGAAAAATTGATATCAAATTGAGTTTTCAGTTTCACTGATTGCAGAAATAGTTTTCAATGTGATGTCACAGGAAGATTGTTTTGCTCTCAATTTTGATATTTTAACCGTTAAAACGACCAAAACGACAGCAACCTGAGCAATCATTATCAGCGAAATCACAACATCAAATTTAAATTTCAATTTGATTTTAGACTTTGCTCGGGATAGTAGCCTTAATTTTGTCCTCTGTTCTACGCGCCATAAACACCAATGTTGCCTGCTGAACAGTTGATTGAGCATAATCATAAGACATCAGTGACATGAATCATTAATAACTTTTGTTCCTTACATTTGATCGAAAACTGGTTTTCAACAAAGTTGTAGCTGAGAAAATTTTCAAAACAATGTAGAGTGAACTGGTGAATTTTGAGATAGATATGAATCGAAATTATGGTTTCTTCATAGTAATTCCCATATAAACTTTAAATAGTTTGTGCCAAGTCAGTTTCTTACTAAATGAGTTCAAATTTTGGGAGGCTAATCAGGGTCCAATTTGGAATCGTTTGAGCATTGTGGAGCAAAAATTTCAAACTTTGCATCAGTCTAATGCTCAAGTATCTTTGCCACCAATCGGTGAAAAATATTATGACTCCGATTCCAACTCCTCTAAAATATGTCTACCCACTCGGACTCCGAGTCTGACTCTGACTCCAATTCAACAATTCTATGAAATATTGCTTGATTTTTTCTTTCAATAATTATTCACCGTGATACTCTAAAGGAAACCTTTGCGTGAAACTTCAAAAGTACATATGTCAGCTTCCACAATACAGATACAGATGATATGATTTTCTACAAACACGGCATGTCCTTCCTTTATAGGGCGAACTGATTCTCCGACGTAATCCGAAATGTCAACTATTGTGATGACAATTTCCTTTTCTTGATCTACAGATTTATTACCGAGACAAAAATATTTGCTCACTCTAGTAAACTATTGATAATTAAATTATTAAAACGTTTATTTTTTGTAAATATTAACCCGGAAGATTTTGTATGCTCTTTTCAGCAGTTCAAAACAATGTTATCATCATTTTTCTAGCTCCGGTATCGAAGTACAGATGGCGCATTTTATTCTAAAGTTTGACGTTAGCTTGCCAATTTATAAGGACAGGCAAAATAGTTTGATTTCCATGAAAACTTTAAATAGTTAATACAAAACCTGTTTTAATCAATCTTTGGACTCAAACTAGAGGAGGATAATCAGATCGCAATTTGGAACCGTTCAACCACTATGGTTCAAGTTCATATTCGTATTCGTCACCCAACATTAAGACATTAATCGCCGGCCCCCTCATGTCTAGCTAAATTTGCAACATTTACAAAAGTTCATTGCCTCCGCATGATACGAGCAAAAATCGATATACATACGAGCTTATTTAAATTTCCAGCGACGCTTAATGCGGGTTATTTCGCATACCCGTCTGTTTTAGTTTTATATAAATACCACAAACTTTACCCTACTGCAATCAGCTCAAGCTAAACTTTCCTAGTGATAACAAAGACTGATTGGTGAAGTTGACCTGCGATGAAGATTATCCTACTTCTAGTAGTTGCGTGCGTAGCGGTAGCCGACGAAACACCAGGTTTTTTCATAAAACTATCCAAAAGTGTACCTCGTATTGGTCGAAGGGGAGATTTCGAAAATTTCTTCCTGAAACAATCCAAGAGCGTCCCTAGGATCGGCAGACGTGGTGGATTTTTCGTAAGTACTTGTCTACTGATTCACAAAGTGCAAATAACAAACAACTAGTCAACATATCTTAGACCGAACACACCGCCCCACAGGATAATGCAAACAATTGGTTCGAACGCTTCATGCGTCCATCGAAACGCCCTCTAGCCAATCAGCCGGTGGAAAATGGCAAAATCTACAGCAAGGTTCGTCCCTTAGATTTGCATCACATTATCGATATTCTTTCGGACGACCTCTTCTTCGGTTCGGATCTGAAATTTATTTCCTGGGACGTGCTGGACCAAGCCCTTGAGGAAGATCCCGAGCTAATGGGTAAATTGAGCTCCCTGGCCCGGGACAAAGAAGTCCACCAGCTGAAACAGCTGCTAACCGAGAACAAGGACGAACTGGTTCAGTATATACCACTGGCGGAAGGCGGAAAGGCGCAAGCTCTCTCCAATAAAGCCTATATTTATCGCACCGATAGAGATGCGCAGGATGGCGACGTCAGCAAGGAAAAAATCGAATATCAACAGTAAGAAGTAATGCAACTGACCAGCAACTGGGTTCTTCCATACAATGCATAAACAGTATGACCTGCTTTAATGAACTGCTTTTTGTGTAACATGCATAACGTATCCGATGTATTTCAAATGTTATACTTAACAATTGGTTTGGCCCCCTATTTTAATTAACATTGAATGTAGAACTATGTAGATAATCACATATCATGGAATATATAAATGGTTTGAAGGCAATGACCTAAAAGAACTACAAGCTTTTAGTCCAGCATTATATCACAGCAATCAATAGATAACGTAAGGTCGCCATTCATCGCACGACCTCCTACTTATTATCATAAGTGTTCTAAGAACTTTTAACATTGTTTTTTGTTGCAATAACTTACATCAATAATGAAAGAAAGTCAACAGTGATCGGTGAAGGAAGGTCGAACGGTGTTGTACGATTTTTTAAAATACTACCATCGTTACAGATTCGATGAGTTATCCTTAAAATCAGGGGATCTCGAAACGAAATGATTTTCGTATAATCGCTTGTATGAAAAAGTCGTTTAGTCTTGGTTACATAATGTGGCTGTAGATTCGCAACCGGGCTCGGAAGGAATTTAACGAATTGGAGGGGTCATTGTAATTACACCAACTCCGACTCAGACGCGTATGACAGAAGACGGCAATCGAATGTGCAGGAAGGCAGCTTCCACACCTGCGTAGGATATCGCACCCATTCAAACATGGGCCAGGACAAACGGCTTTACTTCCCTTCCGAAGGAAGACGTGACCAGAGATTTTTATGCCTCAGAAAAATCCCCCCGACCTCGGCTGAGATTGAACCCAGACCCATTGGAGTGCAAAAGCAGTCACGCTTACCACTACACCACCGGCGCCGGCTGGATGTATTGAGTTGGTGAGTACGGTCCAGTTGAAGATTGTTCTTATTAGTTTTTGATGTGTTGTAGTGTGTGCACGCGTCCTCCCTAAATTGCACCCCACACGACAGAAGTTTTGTCAATGTTTCCATCAATATTTTCATATCAATAGTTTCTACAATATTCTCGGGGATTTATCAATACAGGGTCGCTCCTCACTTAGATTGATGTATCCGATGGAATATTCCGAGCCAAAACTTTCCGCTTCCGCCCACATTGCGTTTGGGCCTTTATGCAATTCTTAAGTTCACTTGCCTCAGTGTAGGACCTAAATCAAATCAATAAATAAAATCAAACTTTTCTGATTTTGCTCCAGCCGGTGCCGGTTGTGTAGTGGTAAGCGTGACTGCTTTCTCACCCCAATGGGTCTGGGTTCAATCCCAGCCGAGATGGGTGGGATTTTTCTGAGGCATAAAAATCTCTGGTCACGTCTTCCTTCGGAAGGGAAGTAAAGCCGTAAGGGGAACAGTAGCCCAAAAATGTGAAGATTTATGGAGTCTGTTCCCGTCTTACGTAAAGGGCCGAACCCAATGGGGGCGGAAGCGGAACGGCAACGGAAAGTGGAATTGTCGCGGCATGTACTAAAAATTTACCGCCGCGGTTAACGCGTCATCAACACGCAATGATAGCTTTGGCGGGAGAACGGTTTCTGTTTGACGTTTGTTTTTCTCAGTAATTTTGAGTATACATTTTCAACTGCTTCCACAAGATATGGCTTCGAATATTCTCCGGGTGCTGAAAACAATCCAACGCGTACGGGATATCCGGAACGTACATCAGCATTACCAGCAAACGAATCATCGACGCTGGCCCTCGAACCAGACGAGGGCTACAGAAGGCTTTTATGAGATGGCTTTTCCGCTGATGAGGGAACGAGATCCGGAATATTTTGTTCGGTGCACGAGAATGTCTCCAGCAACATTCAACATCCTGCCAGGTCGGATCAAACACCGAATTGAATTTAACACAGCATAAAAACGGGAATTGGAAACAGTTGAGAAATAAGAATAATGTTCAATAAGTCAACATCGGTTATTCAGAAATTCAGCTACACAGTAATTGAGTGTTTAAGGGATTATTTCCGAATAAAAATATGCAGTTGTCTTTTTACCAAGGAATGACCATATGTTGGTATATACATCAAAAACACTAATTCTTTTTTAGGACTTCGTACTTAACTTTAACGTACTTGTTTTATATTAATTTGGTAATATTTTTGACTAGGTATTTGGCGTATGGTTCGAGCATTTTTCAAATGTCCCGGCTTTTCCGACTAGGAGTCACTACGGTCCGGAAAATAACTCAAGAGGTGACAGCCGTACTCTGGAATGAGCTGAAGGAGGAGTATATGCCTGAGGTAGAAGAACAAAAGTGGGCACAGTACAGTAGCGAATTTGAGGACCGCTGGAATTTTCCACATTGTTGTGCCGCTGTTGATGGCAAGCACGTTACGATAACGTGTCCGCCGAATTCTGGTTCTCTGTACTACAACTATAAAAAGCAATATTCGGTGGTGCTTATGGCCATGTGTGACGCCAACTATAATTTTATTGCCGTTGATATAGGAGCATATGGTGGTAACGCTGACGGAAGCGTATTTGCCAACAGCGCGTTTGGTTTCCGACTACTGCATAGAGTTTTGGGACTGCCACAACCGGATGCATTGCCCAATGGAGAAGTTATCCCTTACTTTATTGTGGGTGATGCTACGTTCCCATTGAAGGCAAATTTGATGCGCCCATACCCTGGCAGGAACCTGGAACCGTTAAAAGAAAATTTCAACTTCGGGTTGCTCGCTGGAGGATTTTATTAGCGCCATTGCATCTACATCCCAAAGCAGATGAAAACATTGTTAAATCCACCGTTGCGCTCCATAATTTCATTAAAGGATACGAGGGACAGCAATATGCATCGCCGTCTTTTGTTGATCATGTTCGCAAGCTGATCCTCTTGGAGGGATTAATGCCGACTGCATCCAGCGTGGCAATAATGCATCTAGAAATGCAATCCACGTGCGAGATGTTTTGGCGCAATATCTACATGATCATCAAATTCGTTAAATTAAATAAATAAACTGTTGAATATTATTGTTAAAAAACCGAATACCGAACTATACACTTTTTGTTTTTCTGGACCTTGTTCTCACCACGTCATATACAACGAAGGAATCACTTACAGTAGTCTAATTGTTTACCCTGGGATACTTTCAGGAGCCAGTATTGGCCAGTTTTACGTGAAATATTCATATATTGAGCAATCGAGGTTGGGTTTGTTTTCGTCCATTATTTTCCCTATTATCGTCAGACGGAAAAATAAAATCCTCTGAAGCCTTTTGTAGTTAACTTAACTGCTCTGAGTACCGTTGAAGTACTTTAATTTTATTGACATATTCAGGAGATTGCTGAACTTTTCTGCAGTTCACTTTATTTCTCTGAAATTTGCTTAACTTCTCCAAAATTCGCAAAATTTTCCTGAAGTTTCATCAACATCTCTGAAAATCGCTGAACTCCCCTGTGAACAAATCAGTGGACTTCAAGAAAATTCTGAGAACTTAAAGAAGGCCAAGAATCTTCAGTTGAAGTTGAATTTATCTGAAATTCTATGTACTTCACTGCTTCTTCAAATATCAGTGAGTTTATGTTAAGCGTGTTGCAATATCTTGATTTAAAAAACCCTGCACAAACCCTTTAGTTATTATATAAATTATGTATTCTCTCTTAAGTATATTTAAGCAGTTTAAATCTTTGCTTATTTTCATCGGCGCGACTGGTTTCTAGTATGTTTGTTGTTTTTGTATGTTTCGGTGATTGATTTCACTTCATCGCGTATTTGTGTAAATTGATGTTTTTTTTTTATTTGCGTCTTATCATTGTTATTAATTATGCTTATGTTAATTGTCGTTAACTATGCTCATAGAATTCATTAGATCAAAATTGCTGATAGCTTAGAACTGGCTGATCAGTGCACTATCAATCATTTGTACTCCTTTGCTGAGCCGTTCCTGGTTTGTTGGAAGGCATCATCAACGAGTCAACAAGTTTCACCGACATAGTATAGAGATTTCCGTTGAATTGGAGCTGAACGAGGATGATATGGAGTGGAAACATAAATTTTGAACTGAAAAACATGGAAAATAAGGTTAAGCACGTATGGAGGATACTTGTCTGATTAAAGGTGTCGTTTTGGAACAAACTAGTCTCACTGGCAGATGTCGGAACGACGACAAACTTACTTCCTTATCTTAGTAAATCTATTGTTTTTTAATTGTTTTTTTCAATAGTTACTCAGCTGGATTCTCAAGAATACATAAGGATCAGAATAATGAGCACACGGAGAAGCTTAAATAAGTACTAACTATTTAATGGTAGATTGACGAATCAAAAAGTTGTGGATCACCTGTGCTACTATAGGAAGGAAAGGAAAACGGTGCAAACAATTCTCTGGAATAACCCTTCCTGTGCTACCATGAGAAGGAACGGGTTAAGGGATCCTGTAGCAGGGGTCAATTACGTTTTTACACCAATACATGCCGCGCGACAGCTTTTTCTGCAAGCTTTTTCATAAATAGGCTTTTGATAGACTTTACATGGATTAGTGATCACATTGGCCGCTCTCAGGACCTCCGGTATGCCCCTGGGGGAACCAGGAGCAGAGGACAATTGCATTTTTACACCAAAACATGCCGTGAGACAGCTCATTCTTCATGGTTTTTCATGAATAGGCATTTATTAAACTTCAAATGGATCAGTGACCACATTGGCAGCTCTCGGAATCACGGGATACCCCCGGGGGAACCTGTAGTAGGGGGCAATTGCGTTTTTACTCAAAAACATGCCGTGCGACAGCTCTTTCTTCATAGATTTTCATGAATATTCTTTCTATAGACTTAAAGTGATTCATTTACCACATTGGTCGCTCTCGAAAACACTGGGATGCCCCGAGAGAACCTGTAGCAGGGGACAACTTCGTTTTAACTCAAAAACGTGCCGTGCGACAGCTCTTTCTTCATGGATTATCATGAATATTCTTTATATAGACTTAAAGTGAATCATTTACCACATTGTCCACTCTCGGGACCTCCGGTATGCCCCCGGGGGAACCTGTAGTAAGGGGCAATTGCGTTTTTACTCAAAAGCATGCCGTGCGACAGCTCTTTCTTCATGGATTTTCATGAATATGCTTTCTATAGAATTGAAGTGGATCATTGACCACATTGACCTTTCCGGAGTCACTGGAATACCCTGGGGGAACCTGTAGTAGGATGCAATCACATTTTTACACAAAACAATGCCATTGGGGAGCTCATTCTGGAACCAGCAGATGCCCCAGGATAACATGTAAGAGGAAAATTGTATTTTCACTTCACAATGCCGTTCGACAGCTCAAACTATTTGAAGTCTTGAAATGGACCATTGACTGCTAGCAGTGGATAGGGAGATTAAGTCTTTAAACTCTGATTGTATACTAATAAAAATCTCTCTCTTGTATTAATGTAAGGTGTAGCAAGAGCACAACAACAACTCTTTAATGAACAAAATGACTGTCGACGTCAGCTCTGGAGATGTTCGCCAGCACTTTTGTGCTTGCTAATGGCCATCAGTTAGTGCCATTTCCTGCATTTCAAATAAACAATAGTGACAGTGCGAATAAACCATTCTTATTTGAAAAGTTGCGCTTTTAATCTGGGTTCCAAAGCTATTTGCTATTTGCAAAGCTATGTATTATTAATCAATTATTATTTATAAATTAAGAATGCCATTTAAAATTGTAGGAAAATGTTATAATGGAACCGTCTAATATGATGTTGGACCACCATTTGCTTCAATAACAGCTTGGATTCGTCTGGGAATTGATTCATAAAGTTTTTGGATGGCTTCTAGTGGAATGTTATACCATTCTTGGATCAGAAGATGTTCAAGCGTTTTCAACGACGATGGAGGAGGAAAAACGCTTCAAATACGAGCTTACAACGTCGACCAAAGTGGCTAATTTTTTTAAATCCGGAGCTGTCGCACGGCATGTTTTTGAGTAAAAACGCAATTGCCCTTTACTACAGGTTCCCCCAGGGGCATACCGGAAGTCCCGAGAGCGGACAATGTGGTAAATGATTCACTTTAAGTCTATAGAAAGAATATTCATGAAAATCTATGAAGAAAGAGCTGTCGCACGGCATGTTTTTGAGTAAAAACGCAATTGCCCCCTACTACAGGTTCCCCCGGGGGTATCCCGTGATTCCGAGAGCTGCCAATGTGGTCACTGATCCATTTGAAGTTTAATAAATGCCTATTCATGAAAAACCATGAAGAATGAGCTGTCTCACGACATGTTTTGGTGTAAAAATGCAATTGTCCCCTGCTCCAGGTTCCCCCGGGGGCATACTGGATGTTCCGAGAGTGGCCAATGTGGTCAATGATGCATTTAAAGTTTATCTAAAGTCTATTGACGAGAAACCATGAAGAAAGAGCTGTCGCACGGCATGTTTTGAGTGATTACATGATCTGCCCGCATTCAGAACCCTTCACCAGAACCGATTCCAGGGAAATGGCCTTATCTCGGTTGATTATAGGCCGATTTTAGTTCTTGGCATATGATTCGCTTTAGAAATGGTTCTTCTTTTGTTGTATTTACTAAAAATACATATATTTAACCAGCATCATATATAAAATTTCACTAAACATTTAGCAAGTTAGACAAGCCCTCCGGAAACCCGGAATATCTCCGGTATCCGGTGACCAGGATTATTTTCGTGGCTACATCGTAAAACAATATTAGTTTTCCAGTCAAATGCTCTTGGAAGATTTGAAATCGGATCATATTTGACGAAGTTACAACACTCCAAAGTTGACCAAAAATTTGCCTATCCTACTTATTTTGAGTAACCCCTGTATGAACTTCATGGAAGATCTTCGGACTTCAGAGAACATATGTAGACTTCAGATAAATTCTGTAGATTGTAAAGAAGATCGGTGGACTTCAAAGGAATATTGTGGACTGAAATTCTGAGGACCTCGGAAAGATCTGTGGACATCAAGAAAATTTTGCAAAATTCAAGAAAAATATGCGGATCTTAGGGAAGATTTGCAATTGTCTTGGGGAAAATTTGCAAATGTCTTCATTGAATTCCACAGATCCTCCCTGAATTCCACATTACTTCTTTAAAGTCCACATAATTTCTCGGAAGTCCACAGATCTTCCCTAAAGTCTACAAAATTTTCCAGGAGTTCAGTGATGTTCCCAAACATCGATAGAATTTCTGTGAAGTCCACAGTATTTTCCTGACATCTGCAGATCTTCTGTCAAGTTCACAGTATTTCTTTGGAGTCCACAGATCTTCCCTGAAGTCTACAGAATTTCCCAGAAGTCCACAGATCCTCCCTGAAGTTCACAACATTTTTTCTGAAGTCCACAGAATTTCTTGGAAGTCCACTGGTATTCCCTGAAGTCTACAATTTTTTCCTGGAGTTCAGTGATGTTCTCTAAAATCCATAGAATTTCTGTAAAGTCTACAGCATATCTCTGACATATTTAATGTATTTCCATGTATATTCACCAGCAAAACAACTGATTACGTTTATTCTGAATATAGATCCAAAATAGAATTCACCCGACAGGTGAATTCCACTTCGAGATCCCGAGCTACATTTAGAGGAAGCATCTCTAAACGAGATGTTAAGTATGAAGCAAAAGCTTCATGGCGTCCGCCTTGCGGATCAGACACCATGCCTTCAACTTGGTCTAGAATCGTATTGATCCGGGCGTCATACCTAAATCGCGAACGTTGTCCACGTTGTGTGCAGTGGTTGGTTATCGATCGTATAATTGAATGCAATAGGTTTTAGCTTGCAATGGAAAATTATAGTAATGCTGCAGTTTTGAACACTCAACGTGAGAATGAGTTTCTCTTCAAAACTTGGTTGGGATTAGTTTATCGTTATTCGTTTACATGACGTCTATCCGCGCCTTCTGCGTATAAGAGACCTAAAAACAGTAATCTGTAAAGTGAGTGTATTCCTCTGCTATTGTAGTTTCCTTCTGATCACATCCCACCCCATGGACGATCTTTATGTAAATGTTCCCAGATCCCAAACACTTCTTCACTTAACCATAACCAATGGCAGTTCCCGTCAACATCTTGACACCATCCAAATCCTTCAATCAAATATTTATTATAATTCAATGAAAAATGTTAAATACTGGTCCCAAAATTCAGTTAGGCTTATTCTGCGCGGCGTGTGAGGTGAGGTGACACGCTGTCACTTCTGAAGTGACAATTGTCACTTCTGAAGTGACAATTGTCACTTCGTGTGAGGTGACTCTCCATTTGATTTGCACGGAGACTCACCTCACCCGAGGTGACAATTGTCACTTCACCATTACTTCACTGTCACCTCACCTCACACGCCGCGCAGAATAGGCCTAAGTATAAATGCAAATTATTATTATTATTTAGCTTTATTAAGGAGGCTTTCAGCCTTGGGCTGGTTCGCCTCCAATATATAAATGCAAAACAAATCCATCACCCACTCACTTGGGAATACCTAGGCCTATTCTGCGCGGCGTGTGAGGTGAGGTGACAGTGAAGTGATGGTTTGGCCTATTCTGCGCAGCGTGTGAGATGAGGTGACTCACTCTCACTAGTGAAGTGACAATTGTCACCTCGGGTGAGGTGACTCTCCATTTGATTTGCATGGAGACTCACGTTACCCGAGGTGACAATTGTCACTTCACCATCACTTCACCATCACTTCACTGTCACGTCACCTCACACGCCGCGCAGAATAGGCCTAGGTGAAGTGATGGTGAAGTGACAATTGTCGCCTCGGGTGCGGTGACCCTCCATTTGATTTGCATGGAGACTCACGTTACCCGAGGTGACAATTGTCACTTCACCATCACTTCACTATCCGCCACACAGCTATCCGAAGCATGAAATCCAAAAAAGCAACCGGAGTCGATCGCATATCAGCAGAGATGGTCAAAGCAGAACCAGTTGTATGCCTGGTCGCATAAACAAACATATCTGGGACCCTGCAACTTATAAGGTGGAAATTTGTTAAACATTATGTACTTAACGGAATACCCGGAATCATGCACTTATTACGTAAGATTAAAAAAAATACATTTTCATACGTTTTTTTTGTTTTTCTTGTAAGGCAGGGATTTCAGACATACCTAACAGAGAATACAGCACATGTTAATGTCCTATGTTAGATCTTACTAAGGGGGAGCTTGAATGGAACAATCCCTTAAAAAATGTTACGTAATGGTGTACATGATCCCGTACAAAACATAATCCGATTTGAGGCAAGGATTGTGATAAAGCTTATCAATTTGGCACATGTTTGTTCAAACAGCATTCTCTTTTCATTACACTAGCGAACTTTGTGCCCACTGACAAATTTCCGTTGGTAGATTTGGCGTTTTCCCCACTGCCTGGTTGATTTGCCCGTATGTTAACAGCAACCGATGCAATTGATACTCTTTTTGAACTTTCGATGTTGATCCACTTACCGGAGCAATCAGTTCCAAATTTTTTATATGCTCGTACGCTTTGAGGATGACACTCCGATCGATCCCTTGCATCGTGGTGCTGGAATTAGCAAACTTGTTGTAGCGAGTCAATATCATTTCAAAGTTGAACGGGTCCCGATCGTAGATTTCCGAATGGTGCTTCATAGCAATCATCAGACACTGTTCCAATACTGAGAGTCCGCATAAGAGATTAATTTTGTCGTCGCACTCGAACTGCAACCCCAGACGGTTTATCGTTTCCATGGTCAGTAATGGGCTTGCTTCACCTATTTGGGACACCAGCTCGAATAAAAATGTCTTGAAGGTTGCTTCCATCACATCATATTCGTACATATTTTGCAGAACGGAGACTACTTTCGAATTAGCAGCCAATCCGTCCACGTGTTTATTCCACTTGGAGATCCATTTTGACTCGAATGAATATTCTGTTGGATTGAAAACTCGACGCAGCAGCGGCAGCTCATGATTCTGAAGCGCTTCTAATGGTATCGGTTTGTATAGCTTCTTGTATTCTTTAAGTTCCTGGGGATATAAAACAAACAAAAAACAATTCTATCAATCATTGCAAAACATCGGGACATTTTTTTCAAAAACAACCTTTTCTGTAGGTAACGAAAGTAGCAGTTTAAATAGCTCAATCCTGCTTTTGAAATCATTTTCCCTAGGAAGAATAAATATTTGCCGATGGGAAAACCTTGACTTGACACGTTTCTCTAGTAGTTCAATAACGTCCATTCGAGCAGTTATTCCTAGAAAATAAAGACATTACATTTCCGTGCGGACATTGAAAATCACACTTATTGACTTCAATCCTACCTAGTACACAAATTGGTGCCTGAGCGGACTGTGCAACATCGAACAAATTATACAGCAATGTTTGATTATGATGCGAGCAAAATAAGTCAAACTCTTCCAGAATGAATACCACGCTTTTGGACTTCTTTCGATCACCTGCCTTAAGACATTCCAGGAGAAATGCTAGATTCTCCGCAAACGATCCGAACACTTTCCCATTAACAGCATTCTCCAGATTCATTTGAGCCGTCGCTGACTTCAAGGCCAACCGGTCATCGGTATGGAGTAATCCGTTGAGGTACACAATCAATGTATTTCTGTAAAAGATCTCATCCGGAAGCAAATCTGCCAACACCGATGTTACAAGCTAAAATCAAAAGTTCATGAATATTTAATCTGCACTTCTAGCTTATAGAAACCTTTTACCGTTGTTTTGCCACAGCCTCGCGGTCCCAAGAGTAAGGCACTGTTAGATTCACCATGTTCCGCCGTCCGGAACAGTAAATCACGGATATGCTGCCACTCAGACTCGTACCCGCGGAAGTTAATTACATCAGTTTGCAGACGACTTTTCAGAAACTGTCGCGTTTCGTCAGCTTGATCCACCAAAACAGGCATGACGAATATTTGATTGGTAGTATTTTAATGGAACTACTCTGAACTGAATAAAATTATATTAATATATTGTATAATTTCAGAAAATAAACAGGTGACAACAAACTTTTCAAAAATGCGCCAAATAAAAACGTAAACAAAAGTCGACTTTTGCACCTAAAAGATGTTTCCCGTGTCGACAAAATACACAGTAGCACCAGCTTCAAGGCGTTTAAAATGCAGGGCATGCACGCTAACTGTAAAGATAACATTAATGCGTAATATTTTATTCAATTTGAAGAAAAGTGGCTTATTGTGCGTTTATAGTACGTTCAGACTACAGAGTTGTAACATGTTATAGCGCTATCTTGATGGTGGTTTCTGGGTTGCAATTATTTGACAACCGTTATAACATGTTATAACTCTCCAGTCTGAACAAGGCATTAAACGCTGTCCAGACTGGAGAGTTATAACATGTTATAACGATTGTCAACTAATTGCAACACAGAAACCACCATCAAGATAGCGCTATAACATGTTATAACTCTGTAGTCTGAACGTACTATTACTCTCTTTCTGGACACGGTCGGTTAAAGTATTCGTTAAATAACTCATGAAATGAGTAAAACCGAGTTTACTAATTAATGAGTATTCGAACACGGTGTTTCGTGAAAACCCATTTATAAGTAAAAAAAATACCCATTTTCAAACCATGTATGCAGCTGTCAAAAAATGAGGGAATTTTGAAATCATAAAATTGGTGAAAAAATACCCATTTAAAGAATCAGTTCACGGTTTAATAATGGGTATATTTTTACCCACTAATGGGTGAAAAAACACTTCGAAATTTCATCGTCTCATTTCCGTCACCGATTCATTGGGAATGCAAAAAGTTATTGTCCGCAGCATATTTAGCGAAAATAGACGATCTCTGGAAAATGTTAGAATCCAAAACGTTAGAGAGGCTTACGGATAAGTCAATACAAATTGTCCAACACGGTGTTTCGCGAAAACCCATTAATGGGTATAAAAACACCTATTTCCGCTTAAAGTGCTCCTCCTCATTTAATGGGTAAACTATGGTTTACTCATTAATGGGTAAATGGAGGATCTGTCAATAAATGGGTGTTTTTTACCCATTTTCTTAAATTGTGTTTTTCGTAAAATGGGTAAAAAATACCCATTTCTTCAAATGGAGGATGCTGGTGCTGGGTTATTTAACCTCGTTGATATAAAAAACTTAATAATATTTACATTGAAAATAAATGCAGGTGTAGCGAAAAAAAAATTATTACACGAGATATTATAATACCATATTGGATAAAACTGTATAGACTTATCCTTAAGTCTCTCCAATGTTTCGGAATCTAACCTTTTCCGGAGATGGTCCATTTTTGCTAAAAAAAAAGCGGACAGAAACTGTTTGCATTCCCAATGGTCGGTGACGGAATGAGACGATAAAATTTCCAAGTGTTTTTTCACTCATTAGTGGGTAAAAATATACCCATTATGCAATCGTGAACTGATTCTTTAAATGGGTATTTTTTCACCCATAAATGGGTTTTCACGAAACACCGTGAAAATGGAATTCTAATATTTTGTGTAATAAAATTTGAGCGGAACACCTGCATTTATTTTCAATGTATTAGAAAGTTTTTTATATGAACGAGGACAAATAACCAAGCGCTTACATGGGTATTTTTTCACCCATTTTACGGTAAACACAAATTAAGAAAATGGGTGAAAAAACACCCATTTATTGACAGACCACCCATTTACCCATTGATGAGTAAACCATAGTTTACCCATTAAATGAGGAGGGGCACTTTTAGCGGAAATGAGTATTTTTATACCCTTAGTGGGTTTTCGTGAAACACCGTAAAGAATACGTCATAAAATGGGTATTCTTTAATCATCTAATTTTTTCTGTTAATGATTAAAAAGAACCGGTTGTAATGATTATTTAGCCTGCAATCTAATCTTATTTGGTAAATCAGACACATTTTTATAGCGATCCAGCTATATTCATCGCGTTCGATGCCATCAACCAAGCCTAGCGGGTCAGCGAAAAACAGTTCATTTTGTCCTTAAACTTATACCATAGAGGTAACTCTAATAGTACGTTCAGACTACAGAGTTATAACATGTTATAGCGCTATCTTGATGGTCGTTTCTGTGTTGCAATTATTTGACAACCGTTATAACATGTTATAACTCTCCAGTCTGGACAGCGTTTAAGACTACCCGCATAAACGTGAACCATAAATTGACTTTACCTAAAATGGTTAAAAATTGTTTATAATCCCTGCCAAACTTTAACTGAAATGGTTATGGAACTTTACATGAACGTTTAATGATAAAGTTTCAACCTTATGTATTATGGTTTTTTGGAACTGGACCTTACAAATAATGGGTTGTTAAGAACCATTACCGTTCCAAATTCTTGTTTTCTCCATACATTTTCGGAAAGAGAACTATATTAGAACCTTTTAACTTATGGTTTGAGAACATTGAGCAAACGATTAACGTACCCTATTCTAGTTGAAATTCTATTACTACACTATGTTTGTTTTGATTCGCTATGAAAGTTTGACAGATAACATCAGGGGTGTGTGGATTCATGCAGAACATACAGGGGTGAGTGAAATAGCTTGGGACTCCTTGGGACCGTTGTTCTGGTACTGAGTGAGCCAAAAATAATAATGATTTTCTTCGGGACCCAGTGGTCTTAGAGTTACCTCTATGATAATACCCCGTTCACATTACAGCCTATATCACGTAATATAGGCTGTCTTGCAATGAGCACTCATACATAGGATTTCCAGTGAAAACTAGATGTATGCGTGCTCATTGCAAGACAGCGTATATCATGTGATATACGCTGTAATGTGAACGGGGTATAAGAATCAAGTCCGGCACACAATGGATAAGTTTTCGGGTTTTTTGACAGTTAGCCCACGCATTATCTGTCAAAAAACTCGAAATCTTATACATTGTGCGCCCGCCTTCAGACATAATTGATCCGGTTGTGATTACACGTAGAGAAATGACTTTTAATTTCAAAAATAAATCGCATTGAATTCGAGATTGAATTCAACAAAAAATATTGTAGACTCAAGGCTGACACAGCAAAAACAAAATGTAATATCGATCAATGTAATTCAAGCTGATGTATGAAATAATGATGTAATAGCAAAAAGCAGATATAATATTACATGGATGTAATTTTATTCGCAAAATCGATGAACATCCTATACAACGTTATATTTATTACACAACCGATGGATTAACCTGGTTGCAGCAGTTTGGATATAATATTCAACACTTTTTTTCTGTGTATGCAGATTTTTTCTTTGAATCAAAAATAAATTTGATAAGATTAAAAAAAAAACTGTTTGTTGTTTTAGAATCATCTCTCCATGTGACTGTAAGTAAATTCAACAGTAATTTTCTTTGATTCTGTCATGACGTTTCTGTAATCAAAACTAATGTATTTTGTTCCAACCACGCACTTTTTTTTTAACAAAAAAATATGCTTTTTGTTTCAAAGAAAATATTTTGTTGATTCTTAAAAAAATAACATTTGATGTAGATAATCTGATATCTGATTTATTTTCCATAATAATTGTTTCTTTTAATTATAGATGAAATCAAACAATAAAAATATTTTTTTGTAAGTCAAACAATATTTATTCTACTTACAAAATAACAGTATCTAAATAAAAAAAAAATCATTTACTTTGTGTAAATTAATCGTTTTTATTTCAATATTTTGATTGTTATTTATAATTTTTCTCTCAGTTGTTTTGTAGACCTCAAATGACTACAAATGGCCGTTGAATCAATTTTCAAGATGTTGACTGTGTATCGATTCGCTGATTTAATTAGAATTATTTAAAGGGCAAAAATGTATTAAATTCTTGATTAAATTAGAATTTTCCTACCTATGAAAGCACCGACTACTTCTTCGCTCAAACCAAATGATTTCAATAATTTTAATAATTCCAAATCTTCTGCACCGAGTGTTTCTACCTCCAGCTCTTCAATCACTTCTTCCTCTGACGAATCCATTTTTTCTGTTAGCATCATGTAATACAATGGTGGTTCACACATAGAAAAAAAATCATATCATTCCCAAAAGATTTTTTTTATCTAATAAAAACTTTGTAGAATGAACGCAGCTGTACATTGGAAACAAAGATTTTTTTTTTCTTAGATTCAACAAAAAACCGAGCAAAAAACATGAGTTTAAATTAAAAAAAAATTTAGGGGAGATGGCTCTTAGCCTATGGATCTAAGATTGGGCCCATCGCTAAAAATTAGCTATTTATCAATTTTATCTAGATGAACGCATCATTGGGACGGTACTTATGGATATTGTTGGTTGCTATTGAAAATTTAGTCGATTGCTGAATTTATTTATGTATGGGCCCAAATTAGGGGCATTGGGGCCGACATTACATCCATTTCCCCTATTTGTTTATAATACGCTTTGTTTCTTTGCGTCTAGTTACGTCAAATATGCCAGAGCTTTTCTCAGAAGAATTAATTTTGACTAGATGAATGAGATGAATCCTAAGATTTCTGTGTACTGGCAAATTTATCCATATTCTGAGTAATGTGCTACCGGTCGATTTAACCGAGGATTTAACAAACTCATTGTTGCACCCCTCGTTATAAAAAGTCGACTGACGTTAAACGTCAAGTTGACGGCGAAAGAGAAACTGTCACGCACACTTCTAAAAATCAAATTTGGCTGCCCAAAAAAGTTACAACTTTACTGCCTACGTGTTGTGAATGAAACTTGTTGGATTTTAGTAGTTTATCAATCGGTAGCAAAATTCATTGAAGAAACTACTGTTAGCAGTCAACATCATCGGAAAAGGTAATACCAACCTGTAGTTCGCATAGGAAAGACATTCAATTTTGAAGCTCATCTTCCGCTTTTACAGTTGTAATCCAGTCATCAAACAAGACCGAAGCTAATTACATTTTGTCGGGGCCAGGCCAGACACCGAATTGATAAAAAATGGTCGAATTAAGCTCCAGCACGGATCCATTCCAACACGGTTTCCCGAACATAGTATTCATCCTTCCGGCCATCGTAGTGGTGGGTCTGGCCGGTAAGTAACAATTTGACAATAATTACGGCATGCAAACTATGTAGTACACAATATAATTGCAACGTGGAACTAGGCTTCCATATGGGCACCAGCACTTGCGTACTACTGATACTGATAACTGCTCTGACATCGCTTACCGCAGTAAATCCTCCTGGCCAGTGTCAGATATGTTGGCATTGTAAGTGCTTATTTTTGGCTGAGCCCTTATCTCAGTATGGTCATTGGTCACAATCGCTACAATAGCAGATCCATTGATTGCATAAAATACCAAAGCACCTGTTCATAGATTTAAAACCGAACATGATTTTGAATGAAACTGTTTTGAACATAATGCATTGTTTCATTTCAGTGGCATTACCAAAATTACTTAGTGATTAACCATTTCTACTTATTGTATATACTATTATCTTAACGCATATAATATGTATTTCAAGTCCTTAATATACCATAGCAATCATCATTCAATTATATTCAAAAGTGTTCGCTTATGATCTTACTAGCAATTTTAACGGCAAAGCGGTGTAATAAGGTAATTCAAAACGTAAGAATTTATAGTATCCATTCTACATCTTACTATCTTAATAACTAAACTATTTCTCCATAAGCAATTGAGCATTTTTAAGTAGCTTAATTGTTTCCAAAATATGTATAGTACTTTTCAATCTCATAAGTAACTACTCTGATTTTATAACCTGGTAGGTACATAAGCCTGTTTTGCTCCTTGCAAAATTGTATTATGTTCAACGGCCATGGGATTGATAACAATCCCGTATAGGTGCGCTTCTTATCACTCCAATGCTTTGTCTATTGCCGGTTGTTCGATTTCTTCAGTATGTATTTTGGATCAGATCACTGCAGTCGTGCTTGTTCAGTCTTTGCGAGTAGGGAATTGGCAGTTCAGGAGACGTGGTCCTCCAACGTGTACAAAGTGATAACAGTGTCTAGGCCAACGAGGCAAGTTGCATAGAATGGAAAACGTCATTGAGGAAGTAATTTCGGAAACGGCCGGCGCCGAAATGGGGCAGGACTTGCCTAAAATGCCATCGTTCGGTGGCGGTGCAGGCAACTTCAAGATGCCAAGCATGGAAGAGTTCATCAAGATGCTAGAACACATGGATAGTCTGTCCGATGAAGAGAAGGAACAGCTGAAGCTTGATGTGATGAAGAATTCTATGGCCGATCGCAAGGTCGTGACGGGTCTATCGGACTACATGGTGTTTTTGGTCATGGTACTGCTGATTGCATCGGTGTTTGGTAAGAATCCTTTTAAAGTTTGAACTTGTTGAAACCGGGTCCTTCCCATTGCTGTTAATATTGGCTTGAATTTATGCGCCGATTCAAAAAAGCATGGTACATTTTTCTGTTTCATTTGTATGGGAGCCGGGGGGGGCTTACAGAGGCGGAAGGGGTCTCGAACCATCATAAGAACCTTTCCCGGCCCCAAAAACCCCTGCATACAAATTTTCACGCAAATCGGTTCACTAGTTTCCGAGTCTATAAGGGTCAGACAGACAGACAGAAATTAATTTTTATATATACACAGAAGATATGCTGAAGACGGCGAGATTGATTATATCTACATAATAGTATTCTTCTTCTCTGGCTATTGCGTTTTAACTGGAACTTTGCGCTTGTTATTAACATAATTGAGTGTCCGTGGATGTCCTCAAGGAGAAGTCTTGTCACCACTTTGTAGGTCTTGTTCATGGTATGCTCTTGAAGAAACTCAATAGCATCGATTGGCCTAGGCGCCTCGGACAACTAAAGGTAAAAGAGCACCCCCACTTGACACCCTTATATTTTGAATGGCAAAGGTGGAGTGGGGGGGGGGGGGAGACACGCTGTAGATTACTCTTAGACTAATAAAAGTCGCGAGTACGAGTATCCATGTAAAGCGCCCTAAAGGCCGTAAAACAGCTCAACTGACGACGGTGCCAATTTTGAAGTTGCTTGCCACCGCTGCTCCACACGCTAGTGCTGATTTAGAAGATTATAATGTAGGGGAAAGTGAGGCAATACCCGAGCAAAGTCGGTTAACAAAATGAAAGCAAATCGATATTAAAGTTTGCAGTTCCTATCATAATGAAAACTAATTTTGTATTCAATTGCCGTGACAGAAGTCTGATATCATATTGTGCTTTTATTATGCAGTCAAAACTTTTTAAATGAAAGCAACTTAACGTGAAGTTTTGCTGTTAACATCTTGTTTAAAATTTAATTTAAGTTTATCTGTCGTTGAACTAACGATTATTGTTTATTTGTTTTATTTACACATTTTAGGTCATTTATGACTTGGTCGGGGTTAGATTTGAGCTCAACTCTTTCAGCGTGAGAAGCATGGATACTAACCATTTACGCCACGCCCGTATTTAGTTAAACATTATGAATGCAAAATCAGTAATCAAATTGATTTCATTGAAAGCAAGATTAGTTTTCCGTTTGATTCAACAGTGTAAAATTTTGCTCTCATTTTTGCTGTGTTAACCGTTAAGTCAACCAAAATGAGATCAACTGGAGTATTCAAAAAAAGTTACATCATAACAGCAAATTTTGATTTCAATTTGATCTCCAACTTTGCTCGGGTATAGCTTACCTGCTTAAAGCGAACTTATTGGACATATTTTACAAAAAAATAAAATAATTTTCTCTACAGCAAATATTTGAAACATTTTAGACTAGCTCAAAATGTCAAAACTGTTATAAGATTTCTGAATTAGATAATAACGTCTATCGGTAGTTTCTTATAACTTATCGTTGATCTTCCTTCAGCAGCTTTATAAATGGTCATTATATGACACGATGTTTTTTCTAAACATGAACAATTTTCTTTACAAAATATTGCTAATATGGTCAATATGAGCACCACTGACATTTCAACGTAAATTCTTTAATTTTGCATTATTCCTTTCATAAATTTGACTGTATCATATGAAATCACGTTTTGAAACAGCTGCTTTGGTAAAAAATCAGTCATTCACAAGACTGAAAAATATAGCCTTAATTTATTCTACAGAAGATTATTGTTTTTAGTAAAATCTTTTTATGCTAAACTGTTCATTGTTGACCCTTCATAAAGCCTCAAGATAACATAATATTCTTACCCGTTGTTTACAAAGTTGCTCATACCACCCCGTCAGAGTGCTCATTTTTCCCCAACGGTTTAACTTCGGTTACAAAACGAACATTTTTTTTTAAATCTATTTGCATAAGATTCAAAAGATTACTTTTAATATTCAATTTGTATTCATGATGATTGTACTCGGGTAAATAACTAACTATCCTTAATTAGGCACTGTTCAACTTATGGTGCTTGCATGGAAAGCCTCAAAAGCCAGCAGATCATAAAACTTGGGAGAATGCTGAAACACCTTAAGTATAAGACATAGGCATGCAATGTGAAAAGTGTTTGTTTTTCCAACTTACCCCCGAAAATGGGGTAAGTGGGATCACATGGTTTGATGACTTGTCATGAGTTGAATTAACATTTTAATGATTTTGACATCACGTAGGGTAGATAACGGCTTCGGCAATAACCTTAAGGGGGCATCCACAAATTATGTAAATGGTGTTCCAGCCACCAGGCTTTTCAGTGGTGTAGAAATCGTTGAAATGTTTACTTTGTTTACTTTTTTTTTTTGAAAGATTCACTGTTTATGGTATCTTACAAACCGAATATGTTCCGGCCAGTTTTCCGAAAAATATTCTATTGTGTTCTTTGAAGGCCCACGCACATTAGATCCGGATCTGACGCGTTGCGGCAAAGTGACAGCTGAATCTATTGTCTAACTGTCAAATTTACGTCAACGCAACGCAAACGGATCTAATGTGGGTGGGCCTTGAGAGACTTGTTCCTTCCATTTGGCACTGGGTTTGTTAAATAGGTTGCTGAGAACCACTTACCCCAAAATGTCGATGCACATTGCACATACACACACACACACACACACACACACACACACACACATACACATACACACACACACACACACACACACACACACACACACACACACACACACACACACACACACACACACACACACACACAAAAGCGACATTATACCCCTATTGTTTTTAAGTCGCAAGTGTCAGGGATGAGCGGAGGCGAACCAGCCCCAGGCTGAAAGACTCCCAATAAAGAAAACCTAACTTAACTTAGTATCAGGGATGACCGGGAATGATACAAATAATGTAACTACCGATAATCGCTCGCAGCTTCAACTCGTCTAAAATCGATACAATGGATCACATCATTCGAGCAGTTTAAAATGAATTTTCCAACCGCTCGAACTTTGTTGTGGAACAATATTTTGATATTTTTTCTCATGGTGACTTGCAAATTCCAATTGAAATTACCCGGTTTATTCCCGCCATTTTGGAAAATTTCCCGGTTGTGCGATAAACCAAATGCGATTGACTCGAAGAGATCACTAGGTTAAATGAGTTATTACTGAGACAGCAGCATTTTTCGTGGATCTTGAATTTGGTTCTGCGTTCGAAATCTTCAAAATTTGTCTGAAATTTCGCTCAAAACTTAAGAAGATTGTATTTGATTGATCCCAAGCATTTCCTTAAAAATTAATACCCCCCCCCCCCCACAGCTGTTTCCAGAATTTTAATAAATTTGAGATTCTCTTTGGGAGTCCCTTGGAAATTTCTTATAACGTCCAGAAATTCTCTGCAAAACACTCCTAAAAGCTCATGAAATTCGTCCTTGGATTATCTTCTAATTTAAATTTTAAAATCCTCTGAAAATTCACATTATCTAGAAATTATTTTCGAGATGCCCTTGAAATTATCCTCGGAATTTGCTTCAAACTCTTCGCAGAATTTCTTTGGAATGGTACCCTCAACATTTATTTTACTTTAGTATTTATCACGAATTCTGCAATCCTTTTCAAAACTCCAAAACTCCCTAGGACATTTTTTTCTTAAGTACTTTGATGTTATCTCAAAACCTCATTCTAAAATCTGCTCATAATTTAATTGGAAAAAAATCTCAAATTCTCTTATGGCGGTAAGTTCCAACTCGGATTGCTTTTAATGCCCTGATTTGAGGATCTTCCAAATGTTTGTTAATGATTTTTTACTCATGTATCCTGCTCGCTTTTGCCTTGACCGAGGCCCAGGTCAGATTCCTGACGACTTACTTTATTTCCTTGTTGAGGCTCTATCGCAATGAGCCCCTGGGTCTGGCTCTGCTGCGATGCTAGTGAATATTGTTCCATGGCAAAGTACGAGTGGACAAAAACATCATTTTAAATCATTCGAGTAGTTTAAAAAAAAATGTTCAATTTATTATTTGGATTTTCTTTTTTATTTCTTTTTGCTTTATTATAGAGACTTTCAGCTTTTTTCTTTAAATCGTTGGTAGCTGGTCGTTCAAAAACTGCTCGACTATGTTATTACTTACTTTTCCTTGTCCGACGTCCCTCAGGATTACACCTGCATCACAGTGTTATGCCAACCAACTCAGTTCGTGGCTTCTTCTTCTTCTTCTTATTCTTCTTCGCATTTCAAGCTTATTGCATATCGCATATTAGCTTATTGCGTGCTCTCAACTTAGTGTTCTAGATGAACTTCCACAGTTATTAATTGAGCGCTTCCGATGCCTGTACCATTTTTGCATTAGTATAATCAGGGTTACTTCCACTCACTTGCTATAAAAAAATGTTTTTCGGAATTATGAAATCATGAAATAGTGTAATGCTAATTAGTACTTGTAAATTACAAGAAGAGGTCATGAAGTATATGTTTGACACATAAAATCTGTCAATATTGCTTTCAGTGCGTCACAATCAGCACAATCACTCTGAGTGAACGCTCACGAATCATAAGATCGCTGATTGTGACGCTCTGAAATTGACAGGTTTTATGAGTCAAACACATACTTTACACCCTATTCTTGTTAATAACTAGTACAACATATTATTATAACATTTAATTATTGCATAATTCCGAAAAATATTTTTTTATAGCATGTGAGTGGAAGCAACCCTGAGTGTAATTGTGTGGCAAGTCCAATCATACTCTATGCCCAGGGAAGTCGGGAAATTTTCCAACCCGAAACATTCCTAGACCGGACCGGGAATCGAACCCAGCCACCTCCAGCATGGTCTTGCTTTGTAGCTGCGCCTTTACCGACTGAGCTAAGGGAGGCCCCGGTTCGTGGCTGCTTGTCTCCAATTTCTTGACCATCCCACACTTCCTAGATCTTGCTCCACTTGGTCTAACCACCTTGCTCGCTGTGCTCCTCTACGTCTTGCACCGGCCGGATTCGAGGCAAACACCATTTTTGCGGGATTGTTGTCCGGCATTCTTATAACGTGTCCCGCCCATCGTACCCATCCAGCTTTCGCGACTTTCTAGATACTGGGTTCGCCATAGAGTTGCGCCAGCCCGTGGTTCATCCTTCTCCTCCATACACCGTTCTCACATACCTCACCAAAGATGGTCCTAAGCACTCGTCATTCGAAAACACCCATTGATTGCAGGTCTTCCTCGAGCATCGTCCACGTCGAGAACTAGCGGTCTTGTACATGGTACATTTAGTTCGGGGTGAAGTTTACCCGACCTCAGGGTCTTGTGAAGTCCGTAGTAAGCACGACTTCCGGCAATTATGCGTCTACGAATTTCTCTGCTGCAGTTGTTATCCGACGTCACCAATGATGCGAAGCAAACAAATTCATGCACCACCTCCGCAGGTCGCCTTCTACGATCCACACAACAAAAATTAAATTTTAATATTTCATCTAAGAGGATGCACTTCAGTTATGTCGCAAATCTCATGTAATTACTACAAATAAACAAATGCAGTAAAAGCAACGTAATGTCAGTCCATGCACTGTATTAATGATAATTTTGTCCTTTTTGGCAAGTAATATTACACCATATTTTCGACACGATTGAAGTTCATCCACATTGATGTGATATTAAAATTAATTATTTGCTGTGCACCTTGCCCGCTGCACGCCTCTTCTTGTTCCTGTTGGGTCGCTTTCTAGAACCATTTTCACTGGGTCGTCGTGCGGCATTCTTACGACGTGCCCAGCCCACCGTAGTCGCCCAATTTTTGCAATGTGGACGATGGATGGTTCTCCCAGCAGCTGGTGCAATTCGTGCTACATTCGCCTCCTCCACGTTCCGTCATCCATTTGCACTCCACCGTAGATGGTACGCAACACCTTCCGTTCGAAAACACCAAGGGCGCGTTGGTCCTCCACGAGCATAGTCCAAGTCTCGTGGCCGTAGCGGACCACCGGTCTAATCAGCGCCTTGTAGACAGTCAACTTCGTGCGGCGGTGAATTTTATTCGACCGGAGCGTCCTCCGGAGTCCAAAGTAGGCACGATTTCCTGCGTCTTTGAATTTCTCTGCTGGTATCATTTTCGGCGGTCACCAGTGAGCCCAAATACACGAACTCATCGACCACCTCGATTTCGTCACCGTCAATCAAAAAACATTGTCTTCCCTAGAACCTCTTCCTTTCATGTATTTTGTCTTTGATGCGCTGATGGCAAGTCCAATTCGCATAGCTTCAGCCTTCAGTTTGATGTACGTTTCCGCCATCATCTCAAAGTTCCGTGCCATAATGTCAATGTCATCGGCGAAGCCAAGGAGCTGGATGAACTTCCTGAATATCGTGCCACTCGTGTCTATCCCAGCTCTTCTGATCACACCTTCTAACGCGATGTTGAACAGCAGACACGAAAGTCCATCACCTTGCCGTAACCCCCTTCGAGATTCAAAGGGACTCGAGAGTGTCCCCGATACTCGAACCACGCACATCACTCGATCCATCGTCGCCTTGACCAATCGCGTCAGTTTATCCGGAAATCCGTCAGTTTATTCGTGCATAATCTGCCATAGCTGATCTCGATCGATTGTGTCGTATGCGGATTTGAATTCGATGAACAAATTATGTGTGGGCACGTTGTATTCGCGGCATTTCTGCAGAACCTGCCGAATCGCGAAAATTTGGTCCGTGTTAGCGCGGGCACCCATGAATCCCGCCTGGTATTGCCCCACGAACTCTCTTGCAAATGGTGACAGGTGGCGGCATACAATTTGGGAGAGTACCTTGTAGGCGGCGCTCAGCAGTGTGATCGCGCGGTAGTTGCAGCAATCCAACCTGTCACCCTTTTTGTAGATTGGGCATACGACACCTTCCATCCACTCCTCCGGTAATATCTCCTCCTCCCAAATCTTGGAAATTACCCAGTGCAGCGCTCTAGCCAGTGCTTCACCACCGTATTTTAATAGCTCACTTGGTAGTTGATCTACATCAGTTGCTTTATTGCTCTTCAGCCGACCGATCTCCTCCTCAACTTCTTGAAGATCAGGGGTCGGTAGTCTGTCGTCTTCTGCGCGTGCTCCAAGGTCTGTTGCCGTGCCACCTACGTTTTCTCCTGCATCACCGTTGAGGTGCTCGTCATAGTACTGCTTCCACCTCTCAATCACTTCACACTCGTCCAAGTCCTTGCACATATCGGCTCGCGGCACGTAGCCTTTGCGCGAACTATTAAGCTTCTCGTAGAACTTCCGTGTGTCGTTTACGCGGTACAGATTTTTCATCGCCTCGCGATCTCGGTCTTCCTGCGCTTGTCTGTACCGCTCCACATTCAATATCGTGCGGTGTTGCAGCATTCTAGCTCGTGCTGCATTCTTCTCCTCTACTAACAGTTTGCATTCGCATTCAAACCAGTCATTTCTTCGGTCCGGGATCGCAGTACCTAGTGCCGCTGCAGCAGTACTACCTATGGCGGAACGGATGTCCCTCCAGTCATCTTCAAGAGAAGCTGCGCCAAGCTGCTCTTCCGTGAGTAGTGCAACTTCCAGCTGCTGCGCGTAGTCCGGGCAACTCCGGCGTCCCGTAGTTGCTCAATGTTGGGTTCGACTTCGACGGATGTTATGCACCGTTTAGAGTTTTGAGCGCATGCATACTGTGTTCCGAATCTATGTTCGCACTGCGGTATTTGCGGACGTTGATAATGTCGGAGAAGAATTTCCCGTCGATCCCCAGATGGCTTTGTGGATATCCTTGCGGGGGAAAAAGATACTTTGAACTACCTGTGAATCGCTGTGACATAATTATTCTCGGAACCGCTTCGAAACTTCAAGTGCACAAATATCAGCTTCTACCACACGTGCATCATCGAAATCGTTACTCCACGTTTGCTGCAATGCAGCATACATGAAGTAGCAATTTAAGGTGAAATGAGGCACCGATTTTCGGGATTTGTGTAATTGAAAATTCGAAGTGGAAGTGGTCTCTACAAGGAATCACCTTCCACATTTTGAAAGCAGTTCTGGTTTCCAAATTTGCTACAGGTAATTCATCATCCCAGTACGGTTGGGAAACCTTCGTTGTGTTATACCCCTTTCACATTACAACCTATATCACGTAATATACATAGGCTGTCTTGCAATGAGCACTCATACATAGGATTTCCAGTGAAAACTAGATGTATGAGTGCTCATTGCAAGACAGCGTATATCACGTGATATACGCTGTAATGTGAACGGGGTATTAGACTGTTTATTTCGGTTTGTAACAGAATAAATCAGGGTATTCCATATAAGCTCTGCAGTTAAATTACTTCTGAGTAAATTAAGCCATTTTTAGTTTTCAGTCCCTCTAATAATGTGTATTAACTTCTTAATTAGTATATATTCCAAAAATTAGTTACTTGATAAAATGATCTAAAATCGATCGATAACTCATGCGTTTTTACTAGAAATACAGTAGTTTTAAGAATATCTTTAAACAGTCATTTTATTCCTGTACTTTTCATCAGCTTGTATTATATACTTCCTGAAATGCTGAACTTCGGTTATCCCCGTTTTTAAAGGTTTAAACACTGTTGAATCATGGAATAATAATAATAATACCAAAACGTTAGTAGATATCAAACATTGTCCCATTAGTCTATACAAGCCCGTAGAATGTGCCTATAGCATTTGGTGTTATCTACAACTTTCTAGTAATATACTATGTATAAAGTATACCCAGGGTCGCGAAATAATCCGATAAAGTCTCAACTTTTCTTTCTATTACCGTTACCGTTACCGTTATCTACCGTCAATACCACAACCATTGGAAAACAGCCCTTTTCTTCGTTCTTCGCCATATCTGCCGACTGTTATAATCTGATACCTACGACCTTATCTTGACAATCCTTATCATCAAGCTGTCCACGTAGGCAGTTGTACACGCAAACTCCCATAAGATCTGATCAAAATAGGTATACACTACAAACCGATTTGCTCAAGTGTAAAGCCATCAATCCGCACATGCAGCATACACATTGGCAACCGGCTGATGCACGCAACCGAACACGTCACCTCCAAGGTACGAATCGCGCTCCCTGTAGCTCCCAGGGCGATTGATTCGTCAAAGATGCTTTCAGTATCAAATTTGATATCGCCGGGTTTAGCAGTTGGGTAGAGTTTGTTCAGCTGTTAACAGATGACGACGACGACGACGACACGCACGCTAATTGAGGAGATTCCGAAAAGACATTGTTTTTTATAAAGCCGCCGTTTGTGAAAATTCCCACCACGGCAGAGGCGGCGCGCGCGACCGTTGAGGCATTTTATAGCAAGTTTAAATAAATTCCATCCAGTCGCTCAGAAGCGTGCGCCAAGTGTAGTGAAAATTAGCACCTTTTTATGTATTAGCACATTTTTAATTCCAAGATGAACTTCGACGGAGAGGAAAATCCTTTCACACAGGCTCTGCAGTCCGATGCATTGAATGAGATGCTCAATGATAAATCAAAGCAAGATATGGCGGAAAAGTTGGCAGATAATTTGAAAAAGCTGTCCGAAATGTTCACTAAGCTTTCGGATCAGGAAAAGCAGCAGTTCGCCAAGGAGTTCAAAGGGAAATTTCTTAATCAATTGAAAGGATTGTCTGAAATGATGAAACAGCAGAAACTAACGCAGGAAAATGCCGCTGATCAAAAATCAATTCCCATTTTTGGAGCTGCTGGAATTTTTCAAGATGAAATTAATTTTTATTTGATGATAGCTTTTGGGATGCTCATTCTATTGTTTGTTGGTCAGTTTGAATTGATTTTATCGTGCAGAAATCTATCTAGAACAGAATAGCTTATACTAATACTTATTGTTTTCTCTTTATTCCAGTATTTTTCGGTTATAAACTGTATCTGTCGCTAACCGAAAAGGAGCGCAAGCGGGAAGAGAAACTGAAGGCCAAGCAGGTCAAAAAGAAGAAATGAGACGGGTTCCAACGCGGTAGTGCCGTCAGCGGAGGTAGAACGGCTCGCCACCATCAACACAAAAACATTCCACAAATGAAAGACTAATAGCCGCTATGTTGGTAAATGTTTTACATGTTTTACGCCAACCCCCTCCCTTCTACTAAGCGCAATCAAGTGAGACTTTTTAGAAATACTTTAACTGATAACTATATAATTAACGCACCTTTTTTGCCGTCTGCAATGTATTCTAAGTAAGATCGAAAATGAAAATTCCTTAAAAGGCGTCTCTTGAGTGTGTAGAAAATTTTCAGATTTTTTTTCATTTGTCTGTTAAGTTTGATCATGTTTATTGCGTTCGGTTAAGGCGTCTTGTGTCAAAAAACTTACGAAAAATATATATGAAAACATCGTTACACCAGATTAGATGTGAGTTTCAACATATACTTTGCTGCCACTATTCGCATAACAGTAAAAATAGGAATTCCAAGGGACATGGGACGGTTATGCGAAAAGCGGCAGTATTGTTGCATGCATGTTAAAATCAAAATACATAGTATATCAGACAGATATGGGTTTTCAATAGATGATATTATTTTGCAATGGAAATATGTTTTCCATCGGTAAAAGGTTGAAATAAAGATTAATAAACCGTAAAAACTTATAAAATAAACATTTTATTTCCGTAAATCCGAAATTCTTTTTTTTTTTGTCATTAGACCGATTCAATATCTTAAGGACACGAACGAAAATATTGTCAATCCTCGAAAGTATTCACGCTATTCTCAGGCTACCCCAGTGACTGGGTAGATTGCATATGCAAGAATGACATATGGAGTTGTCAAAATCTGAGTAAACCAGTTTTGTCTAGATTAGTAGAATCTACCCAAATTCTGGGTAATTGCATCTCATAAAAAAATCATAAAGTGAAAATGGCGCGGCGTTGAAGGTCGACTTTTGCATAGAAAAAGCGTGAAAATTTCATCAGGAGCTCCAGGCCCCAGTAATGGAATGCTGGCAGAAGAAATACTTGGGGCACTTGTTCAGTGGACACAAATAATTAATGATTTAATTTTTAAGTTAAAACAGCCATCCATTTAAAACATTATAATTTTTAAGGATCTCAAACATCACACGAGGAACCACACATCGTGTGTGAAACACCTACCTATATTCAAATCTAGATCGCACAGCATTGTATTTGACAAGGTGGTGCTCCAAATGTATCATGACGTTTTCTCAATTTTGATTTACAAAACTCAAACAAACAGTTCCCGAAAGTGTGTAAACGACGTTTGTTCGGTTTTGAAAGAGGCTATTGAAGCCGAGATTCAAGCTGAAGGATCTTAAAATCGAGCTTAAACTCGTTGAAAATTCTGTTGTTATTTTAAAATTTAAATTTAAATGTCATTCTGATATACTCGTAAATTGCTTCTTTCATTCTCTTTGTCTGGTTAAAGACATTATTTGCACAAGTATTTTAAAGGTTTTCATCGGTTCGACATAATCCTTCTATCAAAATGGGTAAAGTCTACCCAGATAACAAATGTCAACATCTGGGTAAACTTATCCCAGATTTCTTCGCAAGCTCGTTTACCCAAATTTGGGTAAATACTGGTCTACCCAAATTTGGGTAGGTTCAGTTTTGACCGAACTGGGTTGAGTTCACCAATTTTTGGGTAGTTTCATATTGTTTTTTTTTTTCCTTTGTTCGGGACCTAACACTACTGTGACCAGTAAATTGATCTATTGTAGTATATCCCGTGTCCTTAGTTTAGTGCATGTCGTATTACCATAGAGGTAACTCTAAGACCACTGGGTCCCGAAGAAAATCATTATTATTTTTGGCTCACTCAGTACCAGAACAACGGTCCCAAGCATTCCCAAGCTATTTCACTCACCCCTGCATGTTCTGCATGAATCCACACACCCCTGATGTTATCTGTCAAACTTTCATAGCGAATCAAAACAAACATAGTGTAGTAATAGAATTTCAACTAAAGGGTGATAAAAAAATTTGGTCAAGGGAAAACGCGTGTAAATCGGTGAAATCGTTTATTTAAAAAATCAAATTAAATTTCTTTTTCAAGTTCAATTAGTATAAAATTCAGGAAAAATATTCAGTTAGGCTTCCGCTTTTCCAAATCCGAATTGCCGGGCCTTACGCTTGACCCCTGCCATCAGATTTTGTACAGCCACCTTGTCCACCTTCTTCGCTGCAGAAAGCCAGTTTGCCTTGAACTGCTGCTCGCCCTTAGCAGTTTTTTTTGGTCTTCTTTAGGTTCCGCTTGACAATAGCCCAGTATTTCTCAATTGGGCGGAGCTCTGGCGTGTTGGGAGGGTTCTTGTCCTTGGGAACCACCTGCACGTTGTTGGCGGCGTACCACTCCATGGCCTTTTTACCGTAATGGCAAGATGCCAAATCCGGCCAAAACAGTACGGAACAACCGTGTTTCTTCAGGAAAGGCAGCAGACGTTTATTCAAACACTCTTTCACGTAAATTTCTTGGTTGACAGTCCCGGAAGCTATGAAAATGCTGCTTTTCAAGCCACAGGTACAGATGGCTTGCCAAACCAGATATTTCTTTGCGAACTTTGACAGTTTCATGTGCTTGAAAACATCTGCTACCTTTCCCCTTCCTTTTGCCGTATAAAACTCCTGTCCCGGAAGCTGCTTGTAGTCGGCTTTGACGTAGGTTTCGTCGTCCATTACCACGCAGTCAAACTTCATCAGCATCGTCGTGTACAGCCTCCGGGATCGCGCTTTGGCCGTCGTATTTTGTTTATCATCGCGATTTGGAGTCACTACCTTCTTGTAAGTCGATAGTCCGGCTCGTTTTTTGGCTCGATGCACGGTTGTAGACTATACACCCAGCTTATTTGCGGCATCTCGGAGAGAGAGGTTAGGGTTTCGCTTGAAACTACCGGCAACTCTCTTTGTCGTCTCAGCGGCTTCCGGTTTTCGATTTCCCCCCGATCCAGACTTCCTGGCTGTCGACAAACGTTCCCCAAACACTTTAATTACATTTGTAACGGTTGATTTGGCAACTTTTAGCGATTTTGCCAACTTTGCGTGCGAGTAGCTCGGATTTTCGCGATGCGCGAGCAAAATTTTGATACGCTGCTCTTCTTGCTTGGACGGCATTTTGACAACTGAAGAGTGAATTCCAAAATCAAAATAGGAGCAACATTCTACACACACACACCTTCAAAATGAGGGGTGTTCAGGTTTTTTAAATGCAAAATTGAAAGAAATACGTCAAGTTTATATTGACCAAATTTTGACCGTATCACCCTTTAGAATAGGGTACGTTAATCGTTTGCTTGGGACCAATAGGCTACTAAAGTGGTGAGCCAATTTAAAATCGTTAGTTTCGTATTGATTGTTGGTATCACTTCTGTAATGCCAAAATAAACCAGTGACCAGAAGTGACGCTCGACTCGACTTACATAATAGGGCCCTACACTGAGGCAAATAAACTTAAGAATTTCTTTAGGCTCGACTTAAGACCGACACATATGAATTTCATAAGCGTGGCTTATAAATAATTTTTGTTTAACATGAGGTAGCTCTTATACGCGTTCAACGATTTCAAATTCCCAAGCGTTGAAAGACGAGTAGTCAATACACGGCCCACGTAATCTCAACGCCCATGGTTCGGTTCCAGTCTGCTCCGTTTTATTTATTTTTTTGTCCACATTATTTTCATAAGGCAAATCAATGAAATTCATACTGTGTTCTTGTGACTAAAATTCATAAATGGTTCTTACACACAAAAAACAAAAATTGTTTCTTTAAAAATTTTAACATTTCAAATTAAAAGTTTCTCGAATTTGGTAGTTTTAACTATGAATATTTTCAAAATGAATTGTTTTTCTTTGGTTTGAAAGTTTTTCTTTCATTATCGACATGTAATTTTAAAAGTTCATACTTTTAAAATAAAAATTGTACAACTGTCAAAATCACCTCTTGAAAAGCTCATTGTCATGGTCCAAAAATCCAATAGGGCATATAGTATGAGACACAAGAATCCAACCGCAGAAAATCAATCGTGCATCGTGCAGTTCCGGGAACCGATTCCGGTAATGGAGGCAATGAGAAAGAGTAAAGTTTTCGCAGAAGGTAAGATTGCAACTACTGTCTAGATAATCTGAGGGTGGTTTTGAAAAACAAGATGATTATTTTCCAGATCGCCAGCATATTGGGACGTTAGAGCACACTACAGAGATGCTTCCGGTGGCTATCAATAGCGTTTGCAATATATCGCTGGAGGGATTACAGATTCCGTTCTTTTCTATAGGACACTGGTTAGATTTAGTCGCACCAGGTTTTGCTGCTTATCGCCGGCCAGCTGTGAAAACAATATGCACTTTCGTTCGACCAACTCCACTGCATGTTGGAGCCCCGCGTCTGGGAGAAAACCTTCACTAAAGCCATCCGCCAAAGACAACATCCCTGATATCAACATCCTGATGTGAATGAAAAATAGACATATGAATATTTACAAAATATTAAATAAATAAATATAAATATTGGTTATTTCCCTTTTACATAAAAGCAATTAAATTAAAAATAATTCGTATTTGAGGTGAAAACTTATACTAATGCGATGAAATAGCCTTCTTTTGAAGCAACACTTTTCCAACATCAATCTAAAAGTATTTGGTTTTTAGTTTGACAGTTCTACAATATGATTTGAAAGTTAAAACTTTTAAAATTAATAATATGCTAAACTTTTGTTTTGACAGTTGGTTGACTTTCATTTTGAAAGTTAGCTACTTTCTAATAAAAAGGACACATGCAAACTTTTAATTCTATCAACGGTTCTTTTAATTTTATCAATGATTATTTGTTGTGTGTACGGAATCCTTACGTTCTTTTACCTCAGTGTATGTATTAAAAAGTGTAACACGATCACATTCAGTAGGAAACGTCAGATTAACTTCAACTACAGTCTATCAATATCTGGTCAAACTCTTGAACGTTTGGATCAGGTTAGGGATCTCGGTGTAATATTGGACCGTGAACTTATTTTCCGACCGCATTACAAACAAGTTATATCAAAACCAAACAAGCAGTTCGGTTTCATCGTTAACCCTTTCCTTCTCGGAAGGGTTTTCGTTGTTTTGACATGCAAAAATGTGTTTTTGAAAAAAGAGCTAGAACAAAAGATATTCCACACTGAAACAATCTGGTAGGGGAAATGGATGTAATGTCGGCCTAAATGCCCCTAATTTGGGCCCATACATAAATCCAGCAATCGACTAAATTTTCAATAGCGACCAAAAATATCCATTAGTACCGTCCCAATGACGCGTTCATCTAGATAAAATTGATTAATAGCAGATTTTTAGCCATGGGCCTAATCTTAGATCCATAGGCCAACATTAGAGCCATTTCCCCTATGTACGGTTTATTGAATCCATCACATAATAAAGGGTGGAACGGACAAAAATTGGTTAATCACGATTATGTTATTGTACACGGTAAGAAAAAAAGTACCCAACGGCCAGTTCACTTTTACCTACTTTTGACTAGTTTGTCTCCTTTTCTCCTACTAATGTTGTCAAAAAAGGACGAGCAAAAACACCAAACAGGGATAGTAAAGTGTGGGAACCCAACGTTGAGTATAATCATATTTACCTACTGTTGGGTACAACTAACTTACTTTT